CCCTTATTTTTTTTTTTCATTCTTCTAATTCTTTTCTTCTTTTTCAAAAGTTTTTTTCTTTCTTTCATCTTTCTTTTTCTTCATTTAACTTATTTTTTCCTTCTTTTTTTTCAAGGATAAAACCTCCATGCTTGTGATTCCTCCTTCTTCTCTTTTTTTTCTTAGAGCTCCATATTGGACGCCAATTTCATCACAAAATTAAATAAACACCACGATATAAAGCTACCCCAAGCTAGACTTGGGAAAAGTAACCAATTGGGGCCAAGGGGTTAATTTTGTGACTTTCACAAAAAATATGGACAAGGCTACAACATGGGTGAGCAAGAAGGGAACAAACATTTCTAAGTTCATCTGAAGGTCACCTAAAGAACATGGCCTTCGTCCTTCTCAACGTGCACGTGCATTGTACTATGACACATTACTAAGAGTCTTAAATCAAAACTAAGATCAATATCACACTAGGAACTAGACACACATGAATGAATAATTAAGGCTCAAGCCTCGCAGTTAACACAGTCAAGCTCCGGACTCATACATGGTTAACAAAGTTGACTCCCACTAGGGATCAAAACAATTCGAGTTCAAATCATGATCATTTAATTCGCAATGCACGCCTTTCAATCAAAATCAAGTCAGAAACCTTTTGTCATCAAAGATAGGGGCACAGGGAAGTAGTTCACTGGCCATTCATTATCATGATTCTCGTATTTTTTCATTTTATTTTCAATAAAAACAAACCAATCAAAGCAAGAGAACGTACCGAGAGATATATACATATACACAATCTTCCCCCAAGCTACACTCGGCAATGGCCTCATTGCAACGTGTGGGAGGTGGGAAAAACACTCATGAGTCTTCACTCGAACTCATCATCATCACCGTCATCATCGTCACCACCACCACCACCACCACCATCATCATCATCATCATCATCATCTGCCCTGCTACTGCCTGCAATATCTCCCACATCGGGAAAGGTATACCACGAAGGATGGGAAGCATCCTTCGGGATATGACCTTGCCTGCAAAAATAATCATAGACAGGATGCGTGGACAGGCGAAAATTGGTCTCAAGAGTCTGGATACGGGAGTATAGGCCTTGTTGGCCTAACTGAAGTTCCCGTATGCCAGCCATGATGGCTTCATTATCATAGGGGACATGTGGAGTAGTGGAAGAGGAAGAGGGTCCAGCAGACTCTCGTCTATAATAGGTTCTCGTAGGGGCAGCTGGGGGAGGTGAATCGCTAGGAATCCCTAAAAGATAAGAAGGTTGTTGAGGGAAAATCTTAGTAAGGTCAGGGGAAGGTAGAGAGATGGAACGCCTATGGCTCTTCTCAATGAGCCAACTAAAATTGCCAAATTCAACAGACAGCCAACCGGTAATGGTGATGTAGTGCTGGTCTAGGGTAATAGGACTTGGCACTGGTGTGTGGTGAGCTTCATCCAAGCCCTCCTTGAGTGCTAAATGGGTAATCAAGCCGCCTAAAACTATAGGGATGTTAGAGCGGTCGCCATTAGGTTTGACAGTGGTGAAGGTAAGACCCTGTTTCCTAAGATGAAGGGCAAATAGGTGAACAATGTTCATCAGGAAATCCTCATCATCATCCCCCCTTCTCTTCTGATCAGTGTTTCTCGCGCCCGGTCGGGCACCTCATACCCGGTCTGCCAGGGCGACGAGTTAATTCCTCATTTTATCAACCTTTGACGACCTTCTTGACATCCCACTTCTTGCATAGCTCGATGTTCTCTGAAAAACAAAACAAACACAGACACAAACCTAAAAGAAAGAAGATGAAAATAAGAAAAACTAAGAAAACGGGTTGCCTCCCGCAAGCGCTTGTTTACAAGGTCGTTAGCTTGACCGTATTGATGCTCATTGAGTTGGTGGCGGGGAAGAGAGTGCGATGTCCACCTTCTCTTCGATAGGATCCCCAACTCGATAATGCTTCACCCTTTGTCCATTAACCTTGAAAGTGCCTCCGGTCTTGTTCCATAGTTCAATATTGTCGTAGGGGTAGGCCTTAAAAACAGTGAAAGGACCCGACCACCTAGACCGAAGCTTTCCGGGAAATAATTTTAGTCGTGAGTTGAATAGAAGAACTTGATCTCCTTCATTGAATTCCCTTCTCACAAGGCTTTTGTCATGCCACTTTTTAGTTCTCTCCTTGTATAATTTTGAACTTTCATAAGCTTCGAGGCGGAGCTCATCTAGTTCATTCAATTGTAGCAACCTCTTCTCTCCCGCTGCTTTAGCATCAAAATTTAGGCTCTTAATGGCCTAAAATGCTCGGTGTTCTAGCTCAACGGGTAGGTGGCATGCCTTCCCATAGACAAGTCTATATGGGGTTGTACCAATTGGCGTTTTAAAAGTCGTTCGGTATGCCCATAACGCATCATCAATCTTAGCTGACCAATCTTTTCTTGTCCTTGCAACCATTTTCTCTAAGATAGACTTAATTTCTCAGTTGGACACTTCAACTTGACCACTGGTTTGTGGGTGATAGCCAATGCCAAGCGTGTGTTTTACTCCATATTTCTTCAACATCGCTTCAAACCGATGCTCCAAGAAGTGTGTTCCCCTATCACTAATCAACACACTTGGGATACCAAATCGGGGAAAAATAATTTTTTTGAAAAATTTGCTTACCACACGGGCATCATTGGTTGGAGTAGCAATAGCCTCAACCCACTTTGACACATAATCAACGGCTACTAGGATGTATCGGTTCCCTTGAGAGGAAGGAAACGGACCCATAAAGTCTATCCCCCACACGTCAAACAACTCAACCTCGAGTATGTTGTTGAGTGGCATCTCATTCTTCCTAGAAATATTACCTGTCCGTTGACAACGATCACAGGCCTTGACATAGGAATATACATCTTTGAATAAGGTCGACCAATAAAAATTGCACTGCAAAATCTTCGCGGTTGTCTTCGAAGGACCTGCATGTCCACCACATGGTAAGTCATGGCAATGAGAAATGACATTATTTACCTCACTCTCTGGGATGCATCGTCTGATTACTGCATCCGCACATAGCTTATACAAGAAAGGATCCTCCCAAAAGTGTCTCCTTGCCTCATAGAGGAATTTCTTCCGTTGTTGAGACGAGTAGCCATGAGGCATTGTACTAGTGGACAAAAAATTAGCTAAATCAGCATACCAAGGTGACTCAATTTTCAAAAGAACTAATAAATGTTCAGCAGGGAAGGAATCATCAAAAGGGAGGTCATCTCTGTCCCCATTATCGAGGAGGAGGCGAGAGAGATGGTCTGCGATGACATTCTCTGTCCCATTCGTGTCCTTTATCTCGATGTCATAATCCTACAACTGAAGGACCCAACGAATCAACCGCGGCTTGGCGTGACTTTTACTCATTAAATATCTCAATGCCGCATGATCTGTATGAATTATTACTTTCGAACCAACCAGGTAAGAATGAAACTTGTCTATTGCATAAATTACTGCTAGCATCTCTTTTTCAGTTGTGGCATAATTCATTTGAGCAGGGCTAAGAGTTTTACTAGAGTAATAAATAGCATGAATTTTTCTGTCCTTTCATTGCCCCAAAACGGCCCCTACCACATAGTCACTGGCATCGCACATAATTTCAAAAGGTAGGGTCCAATCCGGGGGTTGCATAACAGGAGCAGGGATCAAAGCTTCCTTCAACCTGTTAAAAGCTTCAAGACAAGCATCAGTAAAAATAAATGGAGCATCCTTAGCTAAAAGCTCTGTTAGAGGTCGAGCAATTTTTGAAAAATCCTTAATGAAGCAACGGTAAAAACCCGCATGACCAAGGAAACTTCGAACTCCTTTTACAGAGTTCGGAGGGGGTAATAGCTCAATGACCTCTATTTTGGCCTTATCGACCTCAATACCCTTATTTGACACGACATGACCTAAAACGATTCCCTGTTGTACCATAAAATAACACTTTTCCCAGTTTAAAATTAGGTTGACTTCCTGACATCTATGCAACACCTTTTTCAAATTTTCAAGACATACATCGAAAGATGTTCCATAAATAGAAAAGTCATCCATAACTACTTCCATAGAATTCTCTATGAGACCTGAAAAAATTGCCATCATAGAACGTTGAAACGTGGCTGGAGCATTACATAATCCAAATGGCATCCTACGGTATGCAAAAGTGTCAGATGGACATGTGAATGTGGTCTTTTCCTGATCACAAGGACAAATAGGAATTCGAAAGAAACCAGAATATCCATCCACATAACAGAAAAAGGAATGCTAAGCCACACGTTCAAGCATCTGATCAATGAAGGGGGGGGGGGGAAATGGTCCTTCTGGGTGGCCTTATTCAACTTTCTATAGTCAATACACATTAGCCACCCTGTGACAGTCCTAGTGGCGACTGGCTCACCCTTGTCATTCTTGACAACGGTCATACCTCCTTTTTTTGGTACTATTTGTACAGGCCTAACCCACTTACTATTTGAGATAGGTAAATTATTCCTGCAGCAAGAAATTTAAGAACCTCTTTTTTTACTACCTCCATCATATTTGGATTAAGCCTTCTTTGAGGTTCTATAGAGGAGGCATGATCGTCCTCAAGAATGATTTTATGCATACAAAAAGAGGGATTAATACTCTTAATATCATCAATGGTGTACCCAATAACTTTTTTATATTTTCTCAAAACAGTGAGCAGTTGCTCCAATTCTGTGTCATTAAGCTCAGCATTAATAATAACAGGGTATGTATTATTAGGACCAAGATATGCATATTTAAGAGTAGAGGGGAGGGGTTTCAACTCCACCTCGGGAGGCGTAGTACTCTCCCCAACACTCGATGCACTAAGGACTTCCTTGATTGGAGCAGTGATTGGATTGGCTTTTGCTTCCTCAAGTAGGCTTGTGTATTCCCTTGTTTCCCAATCTTCATCATTGACACTCCCCATCAACACCGTTTCAAATGCATCTTCCATTTTAATCAAGGGGAGTTGCTCACGTTGTAAATCATCAAGGACATCCACTTAACAAATAGTCTCTCCCATGGAAGGAGTTCCCATGGCATTCAAGAGTGAATACTCCATTTTCTCATCTCCTACTTCAAAAGTGATTTTACCATTCTTCATATCAATGATTTCTCCCGCAATGGCTAAGAATGGTCTACCAAGAATGATAGGGACATGTGCATCCTCCTCCATTTCTATCACAACAAAATCACATGGAATAAAGAATTTTCCCACGCGTAGAGGAACATCTTCAAGTACACCCAAAGGAAACTTGCACCCATTTAAAGTTTCTTGCAATTAGAGAGCGACATAAGACTCACACTTGCACCAAGATCACACAATGCCCTGTTGATCTCTATATCTCCAAGTTTCACCGGAATTGAATAGCTACCTGGATCGCCTAATTTCTTAGGAAGTGTGTTTTGCAAAATTGCGCTACACTCTACAGTCAATGCAACTGTAGCATTCTCTTCTAGCTTCTTCCTGTTAGAGAGCATATCCTTTAAAAATTTTGCATAAGATGGAATCTCGGATACTGCATCTAAGAATGGAATGTTGATGTGAAGCTTTTTCAGAATATCAAGAAATTTTCCATACTTTTTTTCTAATTTGGCTTGGGCTAACCTCTGCGGAAAAGGAACTCTTGGCACATATGGAGCAAGAGGAGGAGTCGTTTCCTTTGGCTCTTCCTCAATCATAGTACTATCAACGGCCTTCCCATTTGCGCCTACCCCTTCAACAACCTCCTTTAATGGCTCCCTGACGGGAGGATCTTCCAACTGTTTTCCACTCCTCAAAGTCACGGCATTCATATGCCCCTTTTGTGGCTGCTCTGTTAGACCTAGAAAGGTACCCGGTGTCTTTGAAGATTGGCTAACTTGATGAGCAAGTTGGCTTATCTAATTTTCCATGAGCTTGTAACTGTTGGATGGAATTGTTTGTTGTGGTGATAAAGTTCTCCATCATTAGCTCAAGGTTAGATTTTTGAGGAGCTGGTTGCACAGGTTGCATGGGTTGTTGGACTAGAGGTGGTCTTGGTTGGAAACCAGGAGGTGCATTATAATTGTTGTTTCGAGGTGGTGGTGGAGGTGGATTTTGTTGGGCTTGGGTATTCTTGTAGGAAAAATTTGGGTAATTCTTCCAACCTTCATTATATGTGTTAGAGTGGGGGTCATATGCCCTTTTGGGGTTAGAAGTGTAGAATGCATTGGCTTCCTAGATTGATATCTCATTTGAATTTTGTGGGCAATTAGGTGCGATGTGACCTTGCACATTACACATTTGACAAATCTCAAGTAAGCTAACGGATGATCCAGCTTGGAGTATGTCAAACTTGCTTGACAATGCCTGCACAGAGCTAGTCAAAAGGGTTAGAGCATCAACATCTAATTTACCTCCCTTCTTCACACTAATTCGGCCTCCTGGGTGATAGTTATCATTAGCCGCCATCTTCTCAACTAGTTCCTACGCCTCAATTGGGTTCTTAGTCAAGAGAGAAACCCCAGATGCAGCGTCAATATAGATTCGGAACTCATGAGTTAAACCATTATAGAAGGTTTGGATCAACATCCATTCAGGAATACCATGGTGAGGGCATTGTCTCTGTAATCGCTTGAATCTCATCCATGCGTCATATAGGGACTCATCATCTGACTGCCTGAAAGTAGATAACTCGTTCTCAACCTTGCAGTCTTTTCCTGTCCCAAGAACTTGACTAGAAAAGCCTTCACCAGTTTATCCCATGCGTCAAATGAGCCAGAACCTTCATCTCTCAACCATTCCTTCTCCCTATCTCGTAATGAGAAAGGAAAAAGGCGAAGTCTAAGAGCATCATCTGTAACACCATTTAACTTCATAATATCGAAGTTCTCCAAGAAACTATCAATGTGACTCACTGGGCACTCATGAGATGTGCCTGCAAACGAATCATTGGAGATGAATTGAATGAATTGTGGTTTCAATTCGAAGTTTTGAGCAGTGACAAGTGGTCTGACAATGCTTGAAAGGAGTCCGGTTGTTGTATCAGGAATACCGTACTCCAAAAGAGATTTCGTGCCTTCTTCCATGTTTCGATTTCTCCATCTTCTTCTACCTCTTCGTCTCCTTACAGTTGCTTTGATTTTAGAGTCAAAAGGTGCTAAATCGTCTAACCCTGAACGTCATGTTTGCATGCAACAAAGAACTAAAAGAAGAGTATCAAAAACACAAGAACAATAGCCGAAGCAACAAATAAAGCTTAGTAAAAACGAAAATGAAACCGTTAGTCCCTGGCAACGACGCCAAAATTTGATAGGCGTGTCGCGTACCTAACAAAAATAAACCTAACCATTCCTTCTAACTATGTAGTCGGGCAAGTAAGGGTCGAATCCCAAGAGACTAAGTTCACCTAATTAATCAGACTCAAGCAATCACTAAGCAAGTAACCAATCAATAGTGAAGAACACTAATAACTAATATATCTAAATGGCACAGTTAATCTAAATAGAGCGATAAATCAATGAACTAAAACATCCAAGATCAAGCATTACCACGAATATAATTAACGCATTAATAAATCTAACCACAATAACAAATCAATTGACAAGAGAAAAAGCATTCCCTAACAATACCAAAGGTCTCTCCCGAGTTATCAATGGCTTCCCAAATTAACTATCAAGCATATTTCCATGGAATCAAGAAAATAAGGGACATTAAACACAATACTTAACTTCCTAATCATGCAATCATCTACTTCCGTGATGATCTTCAAACCCTTAATTGAAATACCCAAATCCCGTTAATACCCAACTTCCATTGCAATAAGAACAAAGGGATGATAACAATACTAATTATTCCTAATCTAGCATTGGCATAAACACAATCAATTAAGCATGTCAATTGGGATTATTATTGGAGAATTTAAAGACTCAATTCATGTATCAATCATATTCGGGTTCTGCAAGATCCCGGATTATGAAATTACTCACACATAATAACAAAAATAAATAACAAGATTCAATGAAGAAAACATAATTAATGAGCAATGAAAAGTAAAAGTAAAAGAGAATGGATAAATACCAATTGCTTCAATCGAAAGAATTTGAATTGTTGTAGAACAATAATCTTCACTAAGGAGTAGGAATTAATTGCTTAAAGAGAGTAAACTAGGGTTTTAAAAGTAGTTCTAATATTAGGGAAATAATAAGTTGTCCTCTAAATGTGATTACAAGGGGTATTTATACCCCTAAAAAAATAGAATTCCGTAAACACTTAATGACGGTCACCGCGCAACAGTGCCCGGTCAGACCGGGCAAGGCCTGCCCGATCGGGCGGACGAAGTTAATGCCTCCTACTCTGACTTTCTTCTTCTGCCCGGTTAGCCTGGGCACCTCACGCCCGGTCGAGCGTGCGTAACAGCTTCAAGAATGAAGCTCTAAAAGTAACTCTTCACTGCCCGGTCTGCCAGGGCATGACATGCCCGGTCGGGCACGTGGGATCAAATGATTATTTTTCGTAGTTAGCTCTTCCTTTCTTCGCCCTAGCATCCAGGGTATGGGATGCCTGATAGGGCATCGGGGAAATCTTCATTCTTCACTCAACAACTCTTCTATAATCATTCAAAACAAGTCCAATTCATCTAAAAAATCTCCATATTCTTGTGAAGCTCAATAAAATAGATCGAACACACTAGAGAAGAGATTGTTAGCGAGAAATGGCTCCGTAGAGCTCAAAACCATGCAAATATACTCTATAAAACCAGGGTGAATCATGGTTTAAAACGCATACATCACATCACATCACATCGATAATCATGGTTTTTTTTTTTGGTACAAATTTTTTAATGTTGGTTCCGTTGTTGTCGTCACCCACCACTTAGTACCATTAAGCTACTTAATCACATTTTTTTTAATTTTAATTTTATATAATTAATCCTATCTTCTTCATTAACCAACCAATAATGATTGCTAATTGTCCTAAATTAGTGTTTACGGAAAATGAATTAGTATTATGGTTTAATTAATACAAAGTACTATTGATATCAAGATTTATTATATATAAATAAATTGTAAATATGATATTTTTTCCGTTCTATAAAATCTTTAATGTGAAATGATAAATTTTTAATAATTTAAATCCTAAATTACTATTCATTGTTTGACCATATCTTTTATTTCGATAGAATCACCAACCTCGTTTGATATAAATTAAAATCCTATGTAAATAGAAATACTATTCATTGTTTTAAAAATATTGGTAAACATAAAAATACTAATTTAAACATAGGATTTTAAAAATTAAGCTAAAAATTACCCGGCCATTGATGACCAAAATTTAACACAAAATTACTAACACAAAATTCGCTTGATGGGGTTCTTTATTGATACGAAATTTTTTTGTATCGTATGATGTGTCAATTTATAATGGTAGGTATCACAAATTTTAATTTAATTTAATTAACGAACAATTTGTATTTCTTATCATAAATACTATCAAAATTTATCTAATAATGATAGGTATCAAACTTCATTATAAGCGTTTATCATTTAAATATTTCTTAATATATTTTTTTTGGATTTCTTATACTCGTAGTTGAATTAATAATTTATCTTTTCCTATATTTTTACTTTATTTGTTTTCATTAAAATAATTTAATTCGTGGATTATAATCTACGTGGCATTAAAATTTTAGATATATCAAATCTAATTTGTTACTTTTATCTAGGTGGCGACATAATTTTTTAATTCAAAAATAAAATACAAATCTTTCTTCTTATTGGTCGAAATAAGTATATTTCTTACGTGGCGCTCCGAATGCTCTCCAAAAATGCCTACTTTATTTATATATATTAGATTACTTCCATAAATAATAATAAAAAAAAAACTTATTTTTAAGGTCTTGTTAAAAAAAATTTAATATTTAGCAAAAATATTTTGAAAAATTGGCTTAAAAATAATACTAACTAGATGATAAATCTTAAGAAAATATATTTTCTTTAGGTTTTTTTTTTTTTTTTTTAAAAGAAGATATTTTCTTTAGTTGGATAAACTCCATTTTTTTTTAATTATTTGATTTATTTTACTATTTAATAATTTCAGAAAAAAAATAATAATTTAATAAACCGTTATTGCTTATTACAAAAGTATAATTTTATTTTTTTCAATATAATTTATAATACGACTTTATTCTTGTTTTGTGTTATCTAATATGACAATGAATTTATTAAATATGAATAAATTGTAAATATGATATTTCATTTGTTACACATTAGGATAAATTCTTTAATGGAAAATGATTTTTGTTTTTTTAAATAAAAAATTTAAATCATAAACCATTATTCGTTTTTTTATAAAAATATCATCTCATTCATCGGATGTTTAGATGATAAAACCATTAATTCAAAAGATAATTATTTTATTAATTTAAATCCTAATATCAAAATCTAATATCATCTCAATAATAAATAAAGCCGGTCTCGGAGCCAGGCCACGAGACAACGACACTTGGCATTCTAGTTTTTCCCAAGTGTTGCGCCACATAGGCGATAAATAGGTATTATTTGACACGTATGATGCTAAGTAAGCGATTTTTAGAAAGACTTTTTAAGATAAAATTGTTGTATAGTGTTTTATTATCGATAAAATTCTAATATTTCATATATACAAAATTATTCATAACTTTTAATAAATATCCTATAACTCAATTCTATTTCCATCATCAAATTCTTTTCTAAAAGTTCTTTAAAATAAGATCCATTTATAATATATTCAATAAAAAACTTTTATATGTAGCTGTCAAACCATGTCACCAACTATTATAATAGTTACTTCGTTA